AGTTGCCTGTTGAAATTCTTCTCACCAAACATGCTTCTCAAGCTAAACGAAACCAATCACATATTTATTTTCCATATAAATAATTCGTAAAGAACGAGGAGACACGAGAAGAGAGAAGCAGTTCTTTCATGTCCATTCCACAGACGAAAGAAGAGAAATGCTTCAAATAATGATTTGCAAACAAAAACATAAATAAATAAAAAGAACCATGCAAAAGGTAAAGAGAAAACCTACATGCGAATAACGTGATAGATGAACATGTTTTTCACTACCATGCACAAGTCTAAGTTATACTTGATAGTTTTTTCGATTAGCAGAAGGGTAAAAGAAGATGAGGTTTTATACGCCATACATCAATTGGATACTCACATGAGATGCTTGAAGGTATCAGGAAGACTGGTTTAAGATCTTCGAAGACATTTAAAACGATTTTCTGTACGTGCGGTCCGTTGAGTTCGAAATCTTTTTTCCGGTGCCCATACTGAATGATCATCAGAGTCAGTATCAACTTCTGTTCCTCTTGCGGATGATTCAACATGCTCATCGGGTTCCGTCTCACTATCCATACTGTCTCTATCGCTGTTACGGGAAACCATATGATCTTTATTAGGAGTTTCAGGTGTTTCGTCATCTTCAGCGAAATCGTAGACACCTGTGCGAGCAAACTTAACCATTGAGTCTCGTTCTTGCTCATCTTGAAAATTCATTTCAAGCATTCGATACAACTTCTGAAGCATAGTGAGAAGTGGATTTCTAGCAGGGTTTGTAGATGAAAAATACAATCGCGAAAGAAGATCATTACTTTTTTCTACGCCTTGCATATTGTAATCTCCTAAATCGGTGAGCTCGTGAAACTCATGTAAATGATTGCCGATTATATGAATATACGGAGTTACTGTTGTCCGTAGACCACTCTGTCGAAATTCTTTTACGAATTCGAGTGACAAGCGTTTGAGAACACCTTTTCGTTTTACAGAAGTGTGTTTCACTTCGACGAGTACTTCTTTGAATTTATTTACAACAGCTCGTGCTGACTTAGCGATATCACCGCTTAGTATTTCGTCATAAGGAAAACTATTTACAAAAAAAAGATCTTGAAGATGACCTGAAAGTTTTCCATGAGAGGCGATAGTTTTGTTTTTATCATCTAATTCTACTTGAAAGAAAAATCGCTTCCCGACAGTTCTTTCGCAATGTTGATTAAGAATTTTGATTTTTTTTTCGATAATTGCTAGATGTTCGGCTCCGTATTTGCCCGTACGAGACGCATAAGAAAGGATGTCCTTTAAAATGACATCGAAGACTCGGAGCTTCATGTGCAAGGTGTCAACACAATAATCCTGATAATCGAATAGATCACCGAAAAGAGGTTCACATTTGTATCCTAACTCATTATTTTGCTTAGCTAAACATAAAGTTTGTTCGGCCAAAGAACGTGCTCGTTTGCTAGTATCATGATACGAAGTGGGCCCTATATGAACAGTAGTCGTTGTTTTGTTTTTTCCTTTTCCTTCGGTGATAGTTTTATCGTACGCCGTATCCTCAGTTACATGAAGATCATCCTTATGCTGTGTACAAAAAATACATGGATAGTTAGAGCTGAAACCAGCAAGTCCAAAAACGTAGACTGCATTCATTAGATCACCACCTAATCGAATACGAATACGAATATTTTTTTTACCTATGGCAATGAACTTAACGGATCTAATATCATTCAGAAATTCTGCTGGTAAGCTCGTTCGTAGCATTTCTGTGTTCTCTTTCTGTACTTCGAAAAGTCCTAAAGGAACAAGATTTCTTGCCGTCTGACAAGAGTGACCCCCTTCGATGCAATTTACAGATATGGCCACTATGTGCTTGTTTCCTATCAATGTACCATCCATGTTAAAACGAATGTTCAGCGTATCGTGTTCTTCGAGTGTTGAGTCGTATTTGCGCGCAACAAAGATAGCTGTACGAACAGCGTATTCAAACTTCACATAGGCACTTGTCGAAGTGAACAAAATAGGAAACTTAGCATTCGTTTGCTTTCGTAGTGCTTCGATATCGCTCAAAGAATAAAGTTTCTTTTTGCTTTGAACATACTGGAAAATAGCCTTCAAAGCACTGTCAGTGAGATGATGTGTATCTTTTAAATGTAACAAATCTCTTTTATCTTTCGACGTTTGATTACGTCGATACATGTTTCGATTTGGTTCAATGGAGATCGGGTCCTCTTCATACGTGCGTTTGACGCCACGTGTACTATAAGTTCGACCTATGATCGCATCTAATTCGTCTGCGTCAAAAGAAGGAGAATGATGTGCAGACGTCCTATCGAGACTATTCAATATTTGATCTGTTTCAACTTGGTTGACAGTTGCTGTGAGAAGAGAAGGCTTGGTAGAATCTAACGAAGCACGATCAAATAAAATTTTTGTTTTCAGTATCTCCTCTACATCATCCATGTCTAATTTCAAATTACTCGACAGAGCACATGTTTGTATTAGATTGGAGAGTTCGTCGAGGTTTACTGTTTTCCTTTCGTTGAAAGACGATAGGGCTTGTTGTGCTAACGCTTCGTTAAACGTAATTTCTACCGCGCCTGCGAATGGATAGAATTGAAGAATATCCAAGGCTCCGTTTGTTGTACGAATCAGAAGTATTGGACCTGGGTCATCATTACTTCTATATCGAATAAAGCCCATCAACGAATTAGTTTCTTTCAAAGGTTTCATAGATTTGAAGATGAAAGAGAAAAGATTAATTGAACGCAAAACTGAAATGATGCTTTTGCTGCCAGCGTGTCGACGTGCCGACTTTACGAGATGGCTTATTTGCAGGCTAAGTTCATTTTTTAATTCACGCATACTAATCGCAGCTCTTAGTTCAACAAAAACACGCTTACAAATGTCGGTGACAAATTTGTCAAGATTCATGGATTTGTTATTCTTTGTAAGTGAGTACTTAAAATATTCTTCGAGATATTCAAACGGAGCATCGATTCTCAGCGTGTTATCTGTCATGGAGAAAAGAACATTCGACTCGCTGGATGAAGACAACGATTCACAACTACGGTTTAGCGTCGAATTATCATTATCATCAGTATCAGAAGCATTTGCTGTCGAAACATCATCATCAGACGAAATATTAGGTACAACAGTATCAGAAGCATTTGCTGTCGAAACATCATCATCAGACGAAATATTAGGTACAACAGTATCAGAAGACTGTTCAATACTATTCGTCGGTAAGTATACCGATAAGATAGAAGGCGTCTTCTCTTTTTTTCTAGTCGAAAGTAGAGAAATCGCATTTCTGATCGCTCTGTCGATTGAAACAGCAGATGACTTCTGTCCTTTTTCCTTCAGAACGTTATTTACTTCACTTAAAATTTGCTGTTTCACTTGAAAATCTTTCAATGCTTCGAAAGACCCGTGCATCGACACATCAACGTCGATTTTCAATGTCTTTTGCATTCTTAATCGGTTTTCTTTCGATTGAAAACAGAATGAAATGAATAACAGTCTCACTTTTTATTTGAAGTGAACGATTTCGAGCAAAGTTCAAGACGACGAATGTCAAACAATGTTTATTGCCAACGATTCAAGATCGAGTAGTCTTCGAAAATTTTCTTCGCCAACGTTTCGTTTTCTTTTTCTCTCTCTCCTCCTTATTTTTAATTACGCGCGTGGTTGTGCGAGACAACTTGCTTGCTTGTAAATGAAAAGGAAAGAAGGAGGGGTACTTCGAATGTGCTCAAGATAAGACGTCCTTTCCTTTCAAGATGAATGCAAATGTATTGATGATCAGATGAAAATCAATAATCCATTTCCTTGTTCATAACGTCAAATAAATGAGAAAACTTACTGTGTCGTTAGATTCGTGCGAATATTCACTCAAAAAAACGAGAAAATTCAAACATGCGAATTATTGAATGCTGAAGAATTTCTGTTTCATAAATCGATTAAAAAAGAAGTCTATTTCCGTGCTCAAGACAAAATCGGAATGAATTTTGAAATGTTTTTTGAAAAATTTTGCTCAGAAATCGATTTCGTTTCAAACGCTGATCTTTTCACTTCTCTTCGATCGTTTTCCTTTTGTCGTCTTGCCACGCGTTCACAAGCCAGACAGGAGTCTGTTCACATACCATGCAGACGCGTAGCCATCAAAAGAGAAAAAGAAACAAGCCACATGCACGATAATTAGAGTCTTCTAATGAACATCGTCTTCAAGACGGCGTCTTGAATCGAAAAGAAATCGAAAAAGAAAATATCTCCTGTATGGAAGAATACCGATAGTTTCGTTAGAAATATGAAGTTTCTCTTCGGATGAACATTCTCACATGAAATCTTTTATTTCCATTTTGGAAGAACGTGAAAGAAGTTTCGTTTTAGTTATGATTGAATTCTCTCACTGAAATTGTATTTTTGAGTTCACCGTGCTTGAATTATAACAAAGTTCCTGTAAAAGTCCGCATTCGATTTGCTTTTGTAAGGCTGGATATCTCTTCTATTTAATACTTAGCACAGATGCCAGAAAAATGGCAGAATGTACAATCAACAGCTTTTGTCGCACGCTTTGAAACAATTTGTTCAGAATCTCAGTGCTTTTCGATGTAATTGCGAACGAAGAATGGCAAAATGCTTTTATCAATACTGCAGTATCACACTTTCCTTCAAACGATCTCGGGCTTTCAAACTTTGATTTTGTTCAATGTCAAGCGTTTGGAGACGACTACCTCATCAATAAAAGTTAAATCGAAGACATCTTATGAAAGAAGATATCGCCAAACGCTCAAATGACATTTATAACCTATTCCATTCATAAAAAGAAGGGAGAAGAGAATCCGAACACGAGAAATACTGAGAAATCTCTTTCGAATAATTTCATCGACAAATTTTGTTTCAAGTCCGATATCAATGAAATTGTCGATGAATTTTCATGCTTTATTTGATATTGTCAGTTTCAAGCTAATCATTCCGAATTCAATAGATTTTCTTGTTCGATTTCTTTTCGGTTCAAGACGTCGTCTTGAAGACGATGTTCATTAGAAGACTCTAATTATCGTGCATGTGGCTTGTTTCTTTTTCTCTTTCGATGGCTACGCGTCTGCATGGTATGTGAACAGACTCCTGTCTGGCTTGTGAACGCGTGGCAAGACGACAAAAGGAAAACGATCGAAGAGAAGTGAAAAGATCAGCGATTGAAACGAAATCGATTTGTTCGATTGATGATGCTTGAAAGCGATTTTGATGAGATCCGAATACTATTCGTTGATTTTTTCTCACCTTAACTGCGAGACGTGTTCTGCAACCTGCTTGATATGTTCTCTGAGGATGTTTGATGACTCGGAGAAGTATCGATTACTTTTTTGTGAATGATAGTTGATTATTTGAGAAGAATCGGATGGTTTCTCGTACATCAAACTCTTTACAGACTAGAAAACAATCGACCTTTAACTAAAAGTGTGGCGTTATCTCTTTGACAAAGACTTTCTCGTGCTTCCATGTTCTTATCAGCAAAAATCTAATTTGATTTCATTTTTGTTCAAAATTCAATTGCGACACAGTTGCTGAATACGACTATCACTAATTAAATCTGATTTAGACTTTACAGATGAACGTAGAGCTTCAATCGTTATCAATTGAACGTTGATTTCTTTTGATGAAATTATTTCAAACAGTCGTACACTTTTTGAAATTTGAAAACGATTTCAAAAGCTTTCAATCATACCAGTCTATAGCGTCACGAAAGAAATCAACGGTTTTTTAAAAAGAAGTCAGACACATGTATGGTCTTTCTCTCTTCTCTCTCTCTCTCTCTCGCACGCGTCTACTTGTTCTTCATTGAACAGCGAACATTTGTGAAGTGTCTATGATTAGAAACATGTCGAAAGCATCAAAAACGATCGATAATGCGACAGGAGCTAGTCCACCATGGTCATCTATGCGAGACACAGCATGTTCACCTATTCTTTTTTCATCAGTGGCCAACACATCATCATCATCTGATGCGTCAACTTGCTCGTCGACGATAATCAACAACGATCACGATAGCTTTGAACGAGAGGATGGAATTGGGTACGTTTCATTGAATCTACGCTTACGAGATTTCAAATTAAACAGAAAGCCGTTCTTTGAAATCTCCTTCATGCTCTTTTCTGAAAAGTATTAACTTTATCTTCTTTCTTATCATAGATTGGTTCATCATCAACCGGTGTTAGCGTTTCCATCACCGTCAAGCAATGGATGTAGTAACAGTACACCGGTACTGTCTGCGTCGTCTTCTCAACCGGCACCTCTGATGTCAATCAGTAAGCAAAGTCTCTCTGTTTCTATTTGTGTGCATTGATCCTATACGTTTGTTTAGGAGCTACTGACACGTATGGTTTTAGCACAGGCAAAAGTGCATCCTCGCACGCACCAATGGACAATGGCAACCAATATTATACTGCTGATCGGCATTGGCCAGTTGATGATCCAAGTCGATATGTTTCGGCATCTCAGCAACAGTATCAAAACCGAAATGCTCGTCGATACAAACCTCGTCGTCAAGAACAGCAACCTCATCCTCGAAAGTATGCTGGACAAGCTCGAGCAAAAGCACGAGGTAAGTTTGTTTCAAAATGATTCAGAATCCCCATAATCACGTAGGACCCTTTTTCAATTAGTTTTTAAAGATGACATCCGTGTAGAACTAATTCTTTTTCTTTCATTTTAGACAATTATCGTCGACAAAACAATTGCGTCGATCGGCCGTGTTCGAACTGCAACTGCCATCAATAAGTGCAGCGTTGCATCGTCTCCAATCTCGTACTGACAGCAAAAAAGACAATTATCTCATGTGTTGGTTTACACTTCGTTGTAGATTTAGTTTTTTGTTCGTGTTCTCTACCAGAATAAATCTCGATTATCATTATTTTTATGTTTTCCGTTCTTCTTGTTATTTTTTATCATCTAATAAATCGTTACCTTCAAAACCTCAACAATCGTATGGCAATCGTCTTTGTATTTGACGTTATGAAGAAAAAGACTTTCTATTTATTATAGATGGAACTTCGTCAGCAGAACTTTCCTCCTCATTATTGGCTTAAGCTACACAATCATGATGTTGAGAAATTATCACCACCACCGATCAAACGTCGAAATCCACCAAAAACCAAAGTAGACCATTGCATCAATTCGCTTTCACCTCACATACAGAGATTTATCTACGTTGGTTCTATCGATCGACGTAAAGGTGAAATCCGTTCCACTCGTCTTCCGCTTAGTCCAGAGCAATTTCATGTGTTGATTCGTCTTGGGGTGACACGCCGATACCAATCTGTTGTTCCACTAGAAGACGAATTACAACTGCAGTATGATTTCGAACATAAAGGTTATACTCGTGGTGTTTTTAATATCCAGTTTCGTTTACAAACGCAGAAACCGGTGATTATCGGGAAAAAGCCTGTTCTTCTTCTCCGCATTCGCTATCACCAAAAAGCACCTGTCTTAAAACGATGATTCACCTCTCCGCATTTCGATACGATGTAGGTTTATTACATTGTCTCCCTCTGTTTTTTGCTGTCAATTATTATTTGGAGCATTTCTCTTCTTTCGTCTGTGGAATGGACATGAAAGAACTGCTTCTCTCTTTTCGTGTCTCCTCGTTCTTTACGAATTATTCATATGGAAAATAAATATGTGATTGGTTTCGTTTAGCTTGAGAAGCATGTTTGGTGAGAAGAATTTCAACAGGCAACTGGTTCGTTTAAACGAACGCATATTTTCTTCCATCAATTGATCATATCTCTTTATTTCTACGATTCATTGGTCGTGCATGTGTACATTATCTTCAAACCGAATATGGAAAAAAGACCTTTTCTTTTTGTGCTCCTTTCAATTGTTTGAAACTTTTTGTTTGTGGATTTCGTCAATCAAATTGTCTCTTTTATTTTAATGATCTTTTTTTCTTGTGAAAAATAAACAAATTCATCGTCTACAATCAATTTCTATCAAGTTCATTCTCATTGAGAAGCTAAATGATAATTTCAATCATGAGTTGACGATGGTGACGATGTTATTCATGGATGTCTCCTAGGTTCAATCTGTTGATGAAAACGAAGAGAAGAAATGACACGTACAAGAGAACACAACAGAACGAATCGCATGTAGCTGAGTGGCTAAGAGCGTATATGACGCGAGACAGGTTCGAACCCTGTGCGAAGAATTCTTTTTTTCTGTTCTCTTTCTTTGTTTTTGCATTGATACTTGTAAAAAATTTTTTTGCTTATTGTCGGACGTACCCATTTGAGATCTCGACGGGGACGGGGGTAACTGATCACGCTGAATCCGAATATGCTATTTTTATTGTGCGAGAACGCTTCCTTCAAAATCACTCTCCGGTGATATGCATTCGAAAACAAAAACACATGGAATAAGAAAATTCTAATATTACCATATACATTTGAATCAGGTCCTAAAAGAGATTTTAAACGAGAATTTCTTAAACTTTGGACGCGATATTATGGTTATCAGGAATCAGTGATAAAGAATGTTCGTGTCATGATAACACCACTTACTAATCCATCACTAAATGATTTACTGGTGCATAAAAAGCCTTCACGATCTTTATTAACTAAATTGGATCTGTCCTACACGTGACTTGATATGTGTATTTCATTCTTTTTATGTTTCTGTTTGTTTTGTCTTATTGTTTGATATATTTGAAATATATTTTATTTTCTGTTAAAAGAGTTTTGACACATGTATCATTAAACTAATAGGGACATATAGATTTTTCCCTATGATTTTAGATTTCTTCTTTGATTTATACATATTTGAGGTACTGAAAGATATGCCAAATCGAAAGAATTCATCAGGAAATAAGCAACCAGTCAAACGGTTACTTGATGATGTTGGTTCGAAGAAGGCAGTGAAATGCCGGATAGTTGTGAGACAACTGCCAAACGAGGACGATGCTACACAAAGTCAGTTAACATCATCAGTGGAAGTTACAAGTGCTTCGTCTTCTACTTTGAACAATCGTGAAGATGGAGGTAAAAGGGATGTCGCAACATCACCAAATCCGTACCTTCTGAATGCACCAACCTCTTCTACGAGGGTAGAAATGAGCTTGTCACAACAACAACGGATTGCATCGGTAAGAAACTATTTTGTTTTGACAAAATAATTTTAATCTGACTCTTTACATTGTGAACAAAAAAAGGACCGTGGACCAGTGAGTGCTAACAGTGATTTTCTTTATTCGCCGATCAATCGGCTATACTTCGGTATGAATCCACCGAATCCTCGTCTTTACAACGAGGGTGAGTTCACAAATGATAAAAATAATTCAGAGCAATCATACGACGCGTTTCGTCCTTGCTTAAGGGACTCTTCAGTTGGCAAATTGAATCTAAATGATTAGAAAATCACTAGATTAATGTATACTGTCATACAATAGTCGAAAAAGTATGTGTATAATAACAATTGATAATAATTGAATAGAGTGTGTATAGATATTAGTGTAGGCGAATGATTGAGATAGGATATCGGTATATGTAATTATGGAATAGATTTGGACATTTTGAATGAGACAGATAGAATGATCTTAGGTATATTTGAATATTACATGTATGTTCTGTAGGATGTATGTAGCATCGATATAATTTATGTTGATTTATGGTTTCTCTTGTGTCTATGACAATGAATCCGTTGATCCGTTATCCGTTAGAGGACGATTATATAAGTAGATTAACTTGTATAATAGTCTTCTAACGGATGACGGATCGCGGATAACGGATTCATTGTCATAGGTACAAAAGAAACCATAAATCAACATAAATTCTATCGATGATACATTCATCATTCCGAACATACATGTAGTATTAAAACATACTTTAGATCATTGTATCTATAGTATTCAAAATGTCCAAATCTATTCCAGAATTACATACACACATATTCTATCTCACTCATTCGCCTACACTAATATCTAGACAAACTCTATTCAATTATTATCAATTGTCATTATACACATACTTTTTCGACTATTGTATGACAGTATAAATTAATCTTGTGATTTCTTTAAATCATTTAGATTTATTTTGCCATCTGATGATCTACGTTGCGGGTGAGGGTGTGGGGTGTGGGTGAGTTTAAAGAGAAGAAAGATTCAAAGCATATCATACGACTAGTTTCGTCCTTGCTAAAGGGACTCATCAGGTAAGTTCTAAAATAAGAGGAAAGTTGTTTTGTTGAAAGTTTTTTTATTAATATAGGAATATTTGAGGGTGAGGGTGTGGGTGAGACTAGCTGCCATTATCTAGATTTCACTTCTGCTAAGAAGTTCATCAGATGGCTTTAAAGAATTAATAATGATCTTAAATGAATAAGACCGAAATCAAATTCTTTTAATCACATAGTTACATATTGTCATCAAATGAAATGACAACAAGATATGTAATAGTAATTGCAATACCCAGTGCTGCGTCTAGGTGCCGGGCCTTTCGAGGCACCCTCAATATGTGATATGCCTACTGACCAGGGCTGTCGAGGCACGCTCAATATGCTCTATGCTGAAAGGGTGTGTGAACAATTGCTGAGTTTACGATTATGTGGTATGATGTTGTACTGTGGCTATGTACATGTAAAAGTAGATTATCTAGAAGAACAAATGAGCAATGAGCATATATTTGTGAATAGATAGATAAATGGTTAGATAAATATGTGAATAAATAAAGTAAAAATGAATAAGTGAATAAATAAAGTAGAAATGAATAAGTGAATAGAAGAAACAAGGCTACAAAAAAAAGCTAATTTTGAAATAGAGAGACGCATGGAGTAAGTGGATAATGCTAAATAGGGTTGAATAATGAAATGATATCGAAGAGTAAGGTAAAAGAAATGAGGAATCTAAAGAAATCTCGAGTAGAAGTAGAGCACAAAACAATAAGAGTCTGTTGAAATGCTAAGGTTCGTATGAGCAGAGCATCGGCAGGACTATTTGTTTTGTTTCGAATGATTTTTTTTTGATAGCGTTGACACAGTTTGTTCCATTGATGAATCTGCATCTTGAGGGTTGTCTGTTGAAGAGATGGAGTTGACAACTTTGATTTGATGATTGTTGGTTAGTCGTCCATGGGAGAATCGTTTCCATCGTGGTCTGGCCGGTGAAAATATTCATCTGGACCTACATATGTTTCAATTGAACGGAGAAGAAAAGAAGAAAAAATGAAACGAATGCTGTCTATTTTTATCTGCAATTGCTGATGTTGATCTTACCTAATCGATAGACGATTGCACGATGCCGCCAGTATCGAACGAATCTTCGCTCTGCAGTATTCGCTGGTTCAGCAATTAACGAGCCAGCGTCCTCAGGATTGAGAAGAACAATAGCAGGTTGTTGAATATTGATTTCTGTGCAAGGCTTATATTTGTCTGTTGCCTAAAAAAGTGACATGTAGAATTCGAGCAAAGGAAAAACGAAATCAAAATGTGTATTCATTGGCTACTTCAGATAACGGAATAACACACACTGTTATACACCTACGATA